ATTCTTTTTGTTTAATAAAAAAAACTGTATCGGGAGTAGGAAATTTTTTTTTTTTTGTAGTGATATGATTACTTAAAAAATTCTATAAGAAACGCGTTAGGTCTTATTCTTCCCAAAAAGACGTTAGAAAAACTTCATTTAGTGATTTAAGAAGTACCGGAAAACTAAATTTTTTAGGTCCAGTTTGTTAATTATACCATTGTCTATTTCTATAAATTGTGAAAGAATTCTGTTATTATTAATAGCCCTTTACTATAAATAATTAAAAATATTTGCAGTGACAGGGAATTAAACTTGGATCCTTTAGAGTGGTTGACTGACACTTTAACGATTGTGCTAAAACAGACTTAGACAGTCGGTGTAATTTTTAAAGTCAAAGTTCAATCAATTTAATCGAACTTAAATTTTTCTTTTATTAATGGCAACTGCATTGAATTTTATTTCTATGTTTGTTCTCAATAAAATAACTTTTTTTAATATGTGCCAGTGTGGTTTATAAATAAATTGACTTTAATAGTTTGAAGAGGTATTATAGTCAATTGACTAGTATATAGTTAGAAGTGGGATAAAACTTACAACAGTTCTTATAAAGAATTTTAAGCTGGCACAGTCAAAAATTATTAGCTATTATTTTACCTATAAATTATAGCTATATGTGCAGCTATAATCACCTACAATAATAGCTATAATTGACTACAAAGTAGCTATAGTTATAAAGTAATGATTATTATAAAAAGTAGCTGTTAACAACTATAAATGTTACTAATTATATGTATAAATACAGCCATGATTAATAGGTAAAAAAATAGCTGATAATTTTTGACTGAGGCGATAGTAAGTTTTTAAAGTAAATTTTTAGGCATAAAATAGTTACCTGAGATTTTAGGTAAGATCTAACCTGATGGTCACAGACAAGGAATATTTTAATGAGAATGTTTCTTTATGACTCAATCATTATTTCATTAAAAATATTTTATAATGACGTATATCCATAAAACAAAGACGTAGAAACGGACTATTGGCACATAACTACAATACATACTTTTTTTACCACCAAAACTACAATTACGTGTCAAGTAAGATTCCTATTATTGCAATTTATAAATATTTTCTTATAATATCAGAGTTTTGTAAGTTTCCGTTTCATTAAAACGTTCACTATAACTTTCATACTACAGTATTACATAGGATTGCTTAAAAAATACTTTGTTTACTTAAATAAGAATTCTTTAAGTCTTTTTTTTTTAATCATTTAAGAATTTGAAAAGAATTCTTTTATGAGGCACATTCACGTATTTTTGTAAGGATTACTTTACAGAGAAAATCTACGTATTGGGTCATCATCGGTAATGATAAGAACCTTCGACACCGATATTCTCATTTTTTACTTGGCAATATTCAAAGTAGTTTTCCAAAGTGTAGAAAAATTTCAAATGTAAATTTTTATTATTATGATTAATAACAACAGAAGCTTCCAAAATAAAATTCTTATTTTCTATTTTTTAATTACAATTGACAGAAAATTATTTATCAAAAACTTACTTTCGGTTTTTTCCCAGAAACTAATTAAAGTTGGAATGAAAAATTACTTTGAATAAGGAATGTTTAATGTAGATGCGTTTAAACTTATATTATGTGTATTTGTTCGTTTTTGTAACGTGTTGCCACGGCGCATTGTTCTTGCCCAAAAGAATGCTGTCTTATGACCGAAATCAATATTTCTTCGAGCCAAGCATTTTTACGGTCGGCTCCCGGACTAGTAGAAAAGCCTACTTTCCTTACAGGGGCCAAATTGTACTACCTAACGTGAATTTACTTTGGCTTTTGGTGCTTCAGGTTAGTTAAGGTGGCTCAAGTGGCCTCAATGTTAAAATTATAAATAATCCAACCAAGGTTAATAAAATTGAATTATATTCTTTGAATTCCCATCTTTCTATTCATATAAAAAAAAATTAAGGTTGACGATGAAAATTGTAACAAATCATGCTTACAAAATCGTAGTTTTAAGACGGGTTAGATAGGAAATGCAAGCTTACGCGATATACAACCTACTGCTGCACTTATATAAATAACCCGTAAGGTGTAAAAAATATACTATCTTGTACATATTATTACGCAGTTTTCGATGACATGAGGAAAGTGTCTTGTTATCGAACAAAATCTTTAAATAATCAGAGACTAAGTATACAGTTGCGAGTGCAAGTCTGCTCTCAGCTGTCTGCATTCTGCAGAGTACATATATATAGGTATAACTACTCTTGAACTTAGGAGCGTACCGTAACAGTTCATCAATTAGGGCACCATAAAACTTTTTTGATTTTTTATATTAACTCACTAAAGTAACAGATAAAATGTAGAATATGGCTTACAACAGTCTCTACGATAATTTTATACCATATTTTAAAGAAAATAGTGATTAATTTTTAGTCTCCCCATTTTGATACGGCACTAGGCACTGGAGCCACCTTAAAATCCCAACGATTTCAGTCCAAGTCTATTTTCTGATGAAAACTAATGTGATTAAAAATTTTAAATATAATTGAAAACAGAAAAAATACAACTCGTGTTACTTTTCGTTGGGATCATCGATTTGTCAACAGAACTGAACAAAGTACTACAGTGCTATGTTTGGGTGATAAAAATTTACTACTTGATAACATCTAATTATTAAGCAGGCATAGCATATATGCTCATAGTTAAATCCGTTTTTTTTGTTGAGTATTCATAAATTAGAATAACCGAATAAGTTCCATGTTCTCAGCCTAACCGAATAACTTTAAAAGGGATTCGTAGTGAGGAAGTCGATTGCACTTCTTGATCACCCATGTAAAATTATTAAGTCTTGTCTTAATACTCAACGTAAGGAACAGCAATAAACGCGCAGTTTCTGTGCGTTCAAAAAGTAGCTTTTCAATCTTTAAAGCCGTTTTTCTCGAAAATAACAAAAAAGGAGTTGATTGGTTTGTCTGGGAAGCCACACATATAATATGCTTATAAAGTCTTTGATTTACCTATAAATAAGCACGAAATGCATTAAAAATTGAACACTGTACGATTTTATGATAGATTTAATAGCTATAACAGTTCAGATACTTAGATTCTGCAAGTATATTTGAACTTTAAACGTTTTTACTACCATACAGCACACCACAAACTTATTCAGAATGTTTGAATCAGAAGAACCTGAGTTCTACTTCGTCCTCTGTTTACTTTAAACCACGTTGAAAGAAAATCTTAATTGAATGTTTTTAGAGTATGAATTAATAAATAGTTATAAACATATATTTAAGGTAAGTTTAAGAAATTTTTTATAACATTTAACATTTTTTGAACTATTTTTTTTAATAGCTTGTAATTAAATCCATCACATCACTTAACTGGTGGAGTATTACCAAGCAGAACCTACATAACTTGAGATAGTCAATACGTTAAATTGATTTCTCCCACTTCCTTAGCTTATCAACAGCAGGTTTTTCATGCATTTCCCTGAATTTATACTTCAATAAAGGTTAGACAACTATTTTATTAAACATAAGATTAAATATATCAATACTTTAAGGGATAGTATCATTATTTTATAATAGCTAAGCTTATAACTAACAGCCATTATACTCTGTCACTATTTCTGTCTCATAATTACCCCTTAAATTCTCTGCTTTTGTGTTCAATGATGTCCATATCTGAATAATGCTTCATTGAAAGAACTCCAGAATATTTTATTACTTACACTAACAGTGCATAATTTTGCTATCAATACTGTAGGTATTTTCTTTCTGCACTTATAAATCGAAATTAAGGTAGAAAATTGGGCAGTAGAACATAAGTAAAGGAGAAAGGAAAAGTCAGAATGAGGAGAGACAAAGTAAACAGACATAAGATGCAGTCAGAGCTGCAAAGGAGAGGAAAATATACTTTGATGTTGGAAGCTATGAATTACAACTATTTGTACAGGAATAAATTTTATGACAACGCCGACGATTGGATTGGATGACAGCAACAAAAAGAGTTATTTTTACAGAACCTAACCTCTTACACAAAAATGGTGGTGTCTTTATGCTTTGAGTTCTTGCTGTGTTAGTCTTCCTCAAATCATCTAAAGTAAACCTTATCAATTTACTTTAGAAGTCTTTCAAGCATACTCGTGTATATGAAGGTGTCTGTTGACTCCTTCCTTGTTACAAATCTTCTGCTAGTGCACATATCTAAATGAAACTCACTCACGACCCTCTTTAATAACAAGCACATTTTTAAAGAAATCTGACAAAATATACAGAAACGTAAGTCACAAGCACATATTTAGGTACTTGTATGTTTAACAAATAAGTTAAAATAGTTGAAGTATACGACTGCATGGCAGAACTAGAGTGACATAAGCAGCGATATCTATATCATAGATATACGCAAGAAAGAAGAGGAAAAGAGAAAGCGAACGTGAGAAACACTAGCGCAGCAGTATGTGCGACTGAGGACGCGGTTGGCGATGGACTGGCTTAACGCACACCTTTCAACTTCTTCGTAAAAACCAGAGTCTAACTAGGTTTCATATTTTTTGGTACATTTTTTAGAAGTCACAAATTAGACAGCAGTTCTTTGTTTCTTTTACTTTACTGTTCACGACAGAGTTGGTTTTTAAATTTGCAATAACAAAGGCCCCTACGAGTATTTTTTTTTTTTACCTTCGAAGTCATTCAATGTTAATATTCACGACAATAAAGGTATGAAGCCATTGGGGCCAATTAACTCAAAACAATATCGATTTAAGTATATTAAACTCTACTAAAGTGTTAATATCAAGTCAAGTCACTTTAAGGTGATTGGAATGATAGTCCAACAAACAAAAGTACTAACAACATTTTTTTGTCTGTGCGCACAATTAGAATGGATCACAATAAATCATAAAACAATTTGTTTTTATTGTTAGACCCGTACTTGTATGAAAGTAAAAGAAGAGCTTGCAATAATAAGGAACCAAGCTCATAAAATTTAGGTCTCAAGGCTAACATTTTTCTAATTCAGCTTAAAACAAGCTTAGCTTTGAAATTTCAGACTTTCATATTATCAGACTTTTAGCGTATTTCTTATTTCAACCGTATGTTACCAAAAATATACTTGATTTAATATTGGTATCAATGTAGTTTGTAAACAAGTTAAAAGTTATATTAAGAAAAGAAATAAAATTTTGTTAATTTAAAGTGACTTAGACGGTTACTCTCGCACATGTAAAGTACGGAGAATTAAGGGCCTTTTAGAAATAAACGCTTTCTAAAAATAGATTTTTTAACTCACACCCTTAATGTAACAAAAATTATGTACAAGATGAATAAAAAGTTACAACAATGCCTGAAAATTTGAATTACGAAAATTAATGGATTTATGTAAGCACCTAGTATAAAAGGTACTTTCCTTGCACATGCGCACACCCACAGTAAAACGAGTAAGAAGATAGATTAATTTTTCATATTTTTTTCCGATTTTATCTCAATTAATGTTGTTAACTCCTCGTTTTGGAGAAGCTAGTTAATTCTTTATAAGAAAATACATGCATTGTTGTAAATTTCTCAATTAATTATTTCCTACTTAAATGACATTCAATTATGTGAGGATTTCCATTATATAACGTGTTAATGTAGTAAGTTTTCAGTAGTGATTTTTTCGGAAATATATAGAACATGTTTTTTTTGTGTCAAAAAATTGGTAAACCTTATCTACTAGTATTTAAATTTTAGAGAATCTTATAACTACTATAAAAAATGCCAAAGTTACCTGAAATGGGAACTTTTTATAGGACTAATCAATTGATTTAATCACTGGTGCAATCTATTCAAATCGATCTAAAAAGCAACTCTTATTATTAAAAATTTTTTTACTGTGTTAAAATTTTTTTTTTCTATTCTTTATTTCCCTATGTAGTGAGTTTCAAACACTATTGATTGAGACAGACATATACTGTTTAAGACAATTGACTTGACTTTTTTGCTAAACTCTAGTAGAAAAACATTTGCCTCTTCAGAAAAACTGATACAATAAACATTTTTTATTCACTCTTTACTTAATGTCATATAACTAAAATGTAATATTAAAAAAAACAATAAACTCTGCAAGAAATGCTATTATAACTTTTGATTGTAGTAAAAAGAACTTCTCCAAATTCTCAATGAGTGGAATGAACTTAAATAAGTGAGCATTTTTTCTTAATTAGTTGAAATAAAACACTCCAAATTGAAAATTAAAAAAATTGTCTCTATTGGCTTCAAAAACTGGATTTTTAGTAACAAAATAGCGAAAAAACTTCAGTGCTTGTGCTCTCTTAGTTACTGTAAGAATCAATAATAACATGGATTTCATAGAAAGAGATGAAAAAAGAATAACTTCTAAAATACCTATCTCGCTATTATATTAAGTAAACTATGACAGAAGATAGCTTATGGAATTAGTTGTTACAACAGTAAAAAAAGCTGTTTCATTTTATTAAGGAGATTTGGTCGTTCGGTGTCGTGTCTGATGAGGGGCTCCTGTGGAGTACTTATCATGCAAATGATTATTGGTATTGTTTTTCTTCACCATTATATTTATCATACAAGTGTGTCAACAAAATATTAATGATACGTGAAAAAGTCAACGGGAAATAAATGTTTAAATCATTATTAGTTTTCCTGAAGTACTTTGTGTAAAGATGATGGCCCTGCCACGATAAAACTGACAACACCATACTCTCTTGCTCTCTTCTGCTATTGTATACCTATAGGGGATACCGAGGAATGACAGATACCTTTCCTTCAACAGCTAATTACAGCTTTAATTTTGAAGTAAGATTAACGAAAAAATCGAGTTTTGAAGGAAAGAGAATGTATACTTATCACAACACAAGCAAATTTTATAAAAATAATAAAACTTTTTGTTTCAGAACGGCACAAATCAAATCTCTGAAAACTGCTAGTAGTTCCCCATAGCGAGGTACTTCTAGCAGGGGCTGGGGTACCACTAGCCTGATAAATCACGATGATTTGTTAGGGTGATTCGTAAAATGAATTATGGAAAAGTTTTTTTTTTTCATTGAGTACACATAAAATTAAAATAAAAAAATGACGAGAGCATGTATACATGTATACATATTACAAATATTTTAAATTACATTGAAGTTGTAACTTTAGAATTATAGTTTTAATTTTTGATTGACATTTAGTTCGCATCCCAGTTCCCTCGGTTATGTTTCTTTTATAGTGACACACCATTTGTAAAATTTGCTTAAACAATAAACATCTTAAGAACTAAATCACCTAGTGTATCACGGTGTGTCACTGGGTATCACAATGTTTACATGTCTGGATAAGGTTTGGAAATCTGTTTACGGTTGGAGCTCACTGATAATATAGAGAACTCCCGTGCTAGTAGCACCTCGCCCCAAAGGGCTGGTCATTCCCCATATAGAACACGTTATTATTTTTGAAATAACTTTTTTTCCATGCCGTCTAGAGCAAATTTAAAAAAAGCATGTTGAAGCTCAAGGTTTAATTTACAAAATAGACATTATAAGATAGTTTAAAACAGGTTCATTTGTATCAAGTGTGTGTGATTGAAAATGCGAGATCAGGCACTCTATGAGATAGAATTTTACATGTTTTTCATTAAACTTACGCTGCATTGTTTAGTGTTTTACTTGGAGAGGGAAAAAGTAATCGCATTAGGAATTGTTATTTACCAGGTTTGAATTAAAAATATTTTATGATTCAGGAGAAACTAAGGTGCTAGAGTTACATAGAAAGCTTGTCATTTCCCAGTCTCCCCTACTTGTGTTGGACTCAAATCTTTATGCTTGTATGTTTAAGTATGTACAGCGCATTTACACTACCAATACCTGAACAAAACAATTCTTACGTTTGACGTTTACCTCACTGTTTTCTTAAAATTTAACGTGTTGACCCTATCTTTTTTTTCAAGTATTAGATTCTTTATAATTGAAAGTATATGTACCAATTTAACTTCTGGTCCCACAGCTTTTAATTTCAGTACAAGAGTCTATTTCATTTCGGGTTTCATAAAGTTACGTGTTTAAATCACAAATTTTCACAAGCAATTTTCTTAAAAATGAATGTGTTGACCTACCTATTTCTTTTTCATACAAAAATCTGGCGTACTTTATTTACATAACCTCTGAGTTTCAGAGCTAGCCATCATTTAATTCAAAGTTGCCTAATCCTCCTTAAACAGAATTATCCACCTTAGTTGATATAGCTGTCCCATTTTACTGGATGGTTAACTTAAAAATAGAGAAATGCAAAAGCAAACATATCGAGCACACTTGAATTAATCCAATTCGCTATTATGATTGATTCGAATAAACTCTACGACCTTATTTTTAAACTCAAATTCAAATGCATCTTTTACTGTTAAAGTAAATTAATTTATAAAGTACACTGATAAATTTTAATGTAAGACAACGTAAGATTTTTGATTCAATAGGACTTGAAGTAGCTCGGGCGCTTGGTGCCGTACCAAGCGAGGGGTCCTTTAAGGTTCTATGGATTATGAAAAAATATTTTTTATTCATTGCCAAGATAATTGAATATCTAAATCGCATATTAAAATTCCAGAGTTGTATTAATCTAAATAGTTATAAATTATTAATAAAAGGCCTTTTAGAAATAAACGCTTT